GCCAGTTGTTTTGTTGGCAAGTTCTGCTACCAAAGGGTGATTGTACCCCTTGTACCAATGTAGTATGCACTCAGTAGGTATCTGGTCCCCAGAAGTTTATGACCCATATCCTATGCCGCAATGCCATTACTTGGCCCTTCTGGGAGTAAACACCCTCAAATCCTAAACCCTCAAGCAATCCGGAACCCCACAATCCAAAGCCTAACCTTATGTGCTGGTTGCTGGGCCGGATCACCTAATCCAGAAGCCTGCGTAATTTCCAACAATTACGTAGGGCTCGTCACTATGATTATACTAGCATAAACCCCAAACCCATAATCGAATTATTAAATCCCCTACCCTAAACCTTTATAATCCATTATAGTCACCCTCAAAGGAACCATTTAACGGAACCTTGTTGTAATCATTAAAGCCCCTGCGGTTGATGATATAAATCCTGCATGACCCATAATTAGGAATATACCATAATTCCCATAGTTTAGGGTCCTTAAGGTCATGCAGGATTTATATCATCAACCGTATGTTCCCCGCGGGAGGCCATGTTGCTCCTTGGAGCGCAAGCCATGCAGGAGGAGAGGCCTCCCGAACTCTTGCGGAAGGCAGCACGCGGGCAGGGAAAAGGGGAGAGGGCTCAGGCCCAGAGAGCCCAATACCCCTTAATTAAGGAGTATAGCTTAAATCATAATAATATGAAGCCCTATATGATTTAAGCCATATTCCTTGATTAAGGGGTATTGGGCTCTCTGGGGGTGTGTGGGGTTTTCGGGTTTGGGGTTTCGGTTTAGGGGTTCAGAGTTTTTGGGTGTTTGTATGTAATTGAGGCCTCCACCAAGGGCATCTAGTTCCGCGAAGCCTCGAGCGGAATGACTCAGGTCCAACCCAGTTTGGTTTGGTTCAGGGAGTGGGCTTACTGTAGGCTCTACAGTGTGGGGGTCGGATGCTATCGAAACAATCCGGGTTGTTGTGTTGCAATTAGCTGCGGAGAGACCCGAGAGGCTTGCAGGTTTTATAGGATATTCGTGAGGGTTCCGGACTGGTGCAGGTTGTTTGGAAAGGCCCAAGTTCTTCTGCAAGCTAAATTGAGGGCCACAGAAAGCCTTTATCTGCGACCCAAAAGACTGCCAATACATTATCCTCTAGGTTATGGTTTAGGGTATAGGCCATATAGGGTTTGGGGTTTGGAGCTTCGGTGTACTTGGAGGATCGGGGAACTGAGTAACTAGTTATTATATAAAGATGTAAGTGCCTTAAAAGGACCTTAATTAATTGAGGTTACGGTAATCATATCTCTATAAAATTCCCCTAAACCCTAAACCCTAAATCCTAAACCCTACACCCTAAGTCCCCCTACCCTGCAACTAACGGAGGAAGCTACCGGCCGGTATCTTGTAATGATTTAAAGGATACGGTTGATGATATAAATCTTGCATTACCCAGAATAAGGAATATACCATAATGGGCAATGCAGGATTTTTCTCATCAGCCGTATAGGGGTATTTCGGGGTCATTCGGTTTTGTGGTTCGGCCCTTGCTGCAAGCTCGGGTCTAGGTAAAGGCCCAGCCGAAACCTAAACCGAAAGCCCTACGGAGGATCAGGAGACCAAGCGACAGAGCTTAGAAGTACCAATTCTATCATCTCCATTCAAGAAGCCGACCCAGCCTGCAATGCCATGGGTGCAAAGCCCAATTCCCACAGCTCGCAGGTGAGTTCCTCCAAGCCTAAAGTTGCAACTTCAAGCCTTGTAAAACCCGCGGCCCGGAGCACTAAACCTTTAAATCCAGATCCAAAAAATCCAAACCCTCACGCCTAGCACCGAAAGATCGAAACCCTAACCTTTTTGACACCCGCATATAGACCAAGAGCCCTAAGCCCTTAACCCCAAACCTTCTAACACAAAAACAAAACCCTTAGCGTCCACGTACCCAAGCAGTACATAATTTTTGCTTCACAGTAATCCCCTACACAGTCACTTCAGGGCTTTGTGTATATGCCCCAGAACGTGCTCGGCTGTTACCCCCAAGCCACCCCGCCCCCCACCCGCCCCCGCCCCCCCCCCGCCCCCCCCCCTGCCCCCCCCCCCCCCCCCCCCCCCCCCCCCCCCCCCCCCCCCCCCCCCCCCCCCCCCCCCCCCCCCCCCCCATGGACACTTGGGGGCTATGCGACAGCAGTCGCTGTACTGTGCTTATTCAAACGCAACAAAAACACGCGTCAAATAGACGCTGAAATTTTCCATGTCTATTGGCTCAGGGCACATGCAACGCAACGGCGCTAAGGCCTGCTCTACGAAATCATGAAATGTGCTGGGGCGCTGGAGCGCTGGGGCGCTGGAGCGCTGGGGCGCTGGAGCGCTGGGGCGCTGGAGCGCTGGGGCGCTGGAGCATTGGGGCGCTGGGGCGCTGGGGCGCTGGGGCGCTGGAGCGGCGTGGAGGGGCGCTGGAGCGGCGTAGGGGCGCTGGGGCGCTGGAGCGCTGGGGCGCTGGAGCGCTGGGGCGCTGGGGCGCTGGAGCGGCGTGGAGGGGCGCTGGGGCGCTGGGGCGCTGGAGCGCTGGGGCGCTGGAGCACTGGGGCGCTGGGGCGCTGGGGCGCTGGGGAGCGCTGAGGCGCTGACTTATATATATATATATATATATATATATATATATACATATACATAGACATAGACATAGACATAGACATAGACATAGACATAGACATAGACACAGACATAGACATAGACATAGACATAGACATAGACATAGACATAGACATAAACATAGACATAGACATAGACATAGACATAGACATAGACATAGACATAGACATATACATATACATATACATCTCTCTCTCTCTCTCTCTCCTTCTCTCTGTCTCTTTTTTTCAAGCGTCTCTTTCGTTCTTGCGCGCTCTAGGGTTCTACCATCCCCCAATAAGCAAAGCTTCCACCAACCCTGCTCGCTTCTTACTGTGGTCCTAGTCCCACAATCTCGGTCTTACAGGATCTTCCACCCCATTTGCAGATCCGCGGACGATTCTCATCGTCTCTTATGCTTGCTCCGCAAACTGTCTCAGACGCGGTAGACCATGATTCACCCTCCCAACAATAATAGGCAAAGACATCCTAACATCCCTACTCAATCATCCTGTTTGCCTGCTGTGCTTGGGCCAGAATCTCTCGCCTGTCACGCTTGTCCCGCAATCTCTCTCCTGCGCGCTCTACAAGTCTGGCCCGCCTTGCTTTATCTTCATCTTTCAACCTCCCCTTGGTCGGACAGCTCGCCCCAGAGCATCATATGTCGGTCGACCATGGTCGTCGGCCTTTATATTAATGATTATAACGCTGATGATGATGATGGTAATTAGGAATGATGATGATGATGATGGTGGTGAGGAGGAGGATGAGGATGAAGATTATGATGATGACCAACATGATGATAGGGACGGAATCAAGCGTCACAGATGATAACACACGACGACATAGACATAGACAGCCGCCTTGACTCAACGAGCTTCTCCTATGCAGATAACATGCTACTCACCGCGCATGAACAACATATGTCCCATGCATTGTTTCTCATGCTATCTCATCCACTTGCTCCCTGTATTATCTGATCTCCTTTATACAACCATTTCTGCGACAATCTCTGCTATTACATTGCACACTCTTCTCAGAGCTCATTCGCACCATGCGCCCACAATGCCGTCTGTCTGGGACGACGACGTCGCTGCCTGCACGCGCTCTGCTGGATCTGCATTTGGCCGGCGATGACAATGTAAGGGGCCAAGTTGACTCATTGGAGCTGCTTCGAAGCCCGCTATGTTTGGCACCAGCAAGCTTGGGTCCTGCAAGGCCCTTTCCAATGTCGAGGTATGTCGAGGTAAAGCGTGCCATCCACGCTTTAAGCTCACTGGACAGTTCTTCATCGGTACATCCACGTATGCCTGCATTGCAAGCGGTTACGTTTCACCGAATTCTAGCATTCCGCTCTCAACAATTTAATAACTTACATCTGATTGAGACTACGCTGCCGTCTGCGTGCTGCTACCTGGGACTGCGTGCGTCTTTCTTTCCATGTTCCATATGGCTACATGTGCGAGCAGCCCGCAGGACCTGCTCGTGCCGTCTCCGCCTCCAACAACCGCTCCAAATCTTCCACCAGTTCCTGAGTGCTGCCTGCATCGGCAGGCGTGCACGACACAAGCGAACAAAAGCAGCGGAGCACCTATCTTGCACGACAGAAGCAGCCCCGCCTCTCCATGCAGGAGCACGATCCATGCACCAAGTTGAATTCTCAAACGTGCAACGTAGAGAGAGAGAGAGAGAGAGACAGAGAGAGAGAGAGAGAGAGAGAGATGGAATGAGATCATTAAATAAAGGTTTTGTCTCAGACTGCTATACGAAGAAATCAGCAATGCCGCAGGAATGAACTTTACCCTGCTTGTGACGTCCGCTGTCTGCGTCCAGAAGATGAGTCGAATCATTGATTCTGATATGAGTCACAACGCATACCTACGTAATGCTGGCAGCGAGGACGGCCGAAGCGATTGGAACAGTGTACATGTTGCCACCATAATCCACAACGTCACTACACTCTGTGTCATCGTCGTTGTCGTCGTCGTGGTTCTCCTCATTATTTTAAATCTTCAGTAATATCCTGATCATCGTCATGATCGTCTTCTTCTTCTTCATCATCATCATCATAAGCAGCAGGAGCAGCGTCATTATGTTCATCATCGTCATCATCGTCAGCAGCATCCGCAGCAGCACCACCACCATCATCGTCATCAACAACAACATCAACATCGTCAGCACCATCACAATCATCATCATCAACATCATCATCATCAATCATCATCATCATCATCGTCTTCAGCTGTGAACTTGGTAGCCCGGTCCTGCCCCTAACGAACCCCAAGGACCCTAAAAGACCCTAAAAGCAAGTGCCAAGCCCCCGGCCTGGAATGTCTGAAGAACGGCTCCGCCGTCTGAAATCTGAACCTGAATCGGAAACCCCGTCTCCTAGATTGTAGCCCCTTCCGCGGAACCCTGTTCCTTTTGACAGCTCAAGCGAACCTCTGCCCTCCCTCCTCTGTCGCTGTTGAGCCGGATGTCGGCCAGAATCTTCGACTGATGCACCTGTGGTTTTGCTGTTGGTTTAACACTCACTAAAAAGGTATTTTGAAATCTTTCTTCGAAGATTCGAGACTATGCGGATTTGTCCGACGAAAGCCACTGAAGCGACTGTCTCTTCCCTGCTCTGTCAGCTAAATTGCGTTGTTCGTCATACAGAGCATATACCCCAGAACCAAGGACCCTACGGAGCTCAGAACTATCCATAACCTTGGTAAGACAGTCCGCCAGCATGGCCTTGGAGTGGACCCACCGCATTTTGCAGTTTTCTTGTAACCGTTCACGAAGAAGCAGACACTCGAGTTGAGTACGTAGCTCGACACAGTTCGGAACAGCCGTCTTAGTAGCTACGTCGTAAGCACTCTTGCAGTCCGTCACAAGCGAGGCTTTGGGAGCTTCTTTCAAAACTTCTTCAGGGTGGGAAATATCAATTCCCGGGTTCTTAATCCATTCCCAAAACAGCCTCAACCATGACATTCTGTCAAGCGAGCCGCACAGCGCGACCACTTCAGCACTCAAAGTGCTGCGCACAACTCGGGAGATCTTCTTGCTTGCCCACGCTACTGGAACAATCACGGCCCTCTGATTCTGAAGCATACGCCAATCCGTGGCGATGACCAAAGTGCCCTGATACGAATGGTTATCCTTGGACGAAGCAAAAGAAGCATCGGAAAATGTGCAGAAGGTAAGGTGTTTCTCAGGAATCGGTACCACCATCAGGGACACAGCGTGTGACTTTGCCTCGTGAAGCACCTTATTGGCCTCCAACAAATGCTTCACCCTACCCTTAGTGACCATAGATTGGAGGAACCCCACTTTAGCCGCTATATCCGGTCTGGTGTGTACCGCTGCATATTGCAGGCTTCCATTAAGGCGACGCAACTCATGGACTTCTGAAGCATTGAGAGGATCCTCAGGTCGAAGCCTACGGTCCCTAGGAACATGAATAGGCATAATCTTTTCGAGATAAGCTGTTTGATCCATCTCAATACTTCCGTCGTCCCACTGTCGAAAACGAATCCCGGTGAACACGAACTCTCCTTCGTCGTAGGACCCAAAGCTATAAATGCCCCGCAACTGCTCAATGACCCTGCTGAAATATGCATCACCCCCGCCTATACCATCATCAACGTGGATCCCTAGAACACCGTGTACCCTAGGCTCCCCACCAGGTCCTTTAGTGACAAGACTGAACGTGCAAGGATCAAAAGGGCTCTGGATGAATCCCAGCTCTTCCAACGTTTGCTTGAGAGTCTGGAACCACAAGAAAGGAGCATCAATCCTTCCGTACGCTCCGCCTTCAAGGCGGCACTGGTCAGTGGGACCCATACCTAAAGCCTCTCGGAGTTCTTCGGGAGGTTTGATGCCCAACTTCCTGCCGTCCCCTTTGCCCTGCAAGAAAGCTGTGGAGATATCGAAATTGATGAGCTTCCACTGTCGAGAAGCCACTTGTTGCAAGATCAACTGGCGACCATCTTTCCCTAACGTTGGTGCGTCATTGGGTATATCAGACAACCCGGGGTCCTCGAAACCTCAAACCACCAACCTAGCCTTGGCCCTATGCGGTCCACCCTCCTTCTCAGGAGCCTTCCAGGTGAGGATCCACCTACATCTCATCAGCTGAGAGTCCTCAAGCGTTCCAGCTGCAACCCGACGCACCGTCCGATGATCGAGCCAGGCTTTGATTTCTTTGTTTTGGGCTTCTTTGAACAGTTGGCGCTCATGTTGATTGAGATCCCTAAGCCTAACCTCTGTGCGCTTTTTCCTTTCGGTGCTGGCTAACATCACAAAGTTTAGGGCCTGCTCGGGTGACGGGAGATCCTTGTAGTCTACGTCTGTTTCGTGAAGCCCAATCTCCCACACTTGCTCCGAACTTGGATGGATCAAGAAACATTCAGAGTCCCCGAAGAGAAGGTCATCTTCGTCCTCTGGTACAGGAACCTCTACAGGATCTACCTCCATCGGCTCTTCATGTTCTTGCTCCATCGAGACGGCAGGTGAGACTTCGGTTTCAGGCTGCTCAGCCCCTACCGCCGAAGGCGGGGTCTCACCACTGTCTACAGGAATCTCAAAACCTCCACCGGTGTCTATTTCACCTACCCCTCCTTCTACTTCACCTACAGCAGGCGGCGAGGCCCCGGCTACCGGCGGTGGCTCCGAAGCGGGCGCAACACCCTCCATCTCTACATCTTCTCTAGTGGGCAAATCGCCCTCACGAAGCAGATCTACTACACCCCTACTAGGTAGCCTATCGGGGGAGTTGTGGAGGGAACCCTGACTGTGTTGTTGCAAGACTTCCCACTCGCGAAGCGATGCCGACCTTAAGTGCTCGGGCGATGCTCGAACCAACTGGCCGCAATGCGATAGCCAAACGACCCGCTCATCACCTACGATTACCTGTGCGGGACCATGCCAGCGGCCACGTTCGCCCCGAGAGCGACTGCCTACTCGCTGCTGTCGCCAGTAGAGAACCCAACTGCCAGCAGCGAAAGTCGGAAGGTTGGCCCGTGTTTTTCGCAACAGAGCCCGGCGATACGCAGTATCATTGTCTACCCGTACAAAAGCAACCCTAGCCTGTTCCCGACGCAGAAGGCTCTGTCGAAAGGCAAGACCCTCGGGAAGTGAGCTGGTGGCCAGCGCATGGCTAGCCGTCAACTCATCTGAGACAAGGCTGGCTGGAAGTCTGGACGACTTGCCAAAAACTGCTTGCTCCGGTGTGAAACCCCGCACTCGACTAAGAGAATTCTTTGCATGGACTGCGACTCTAAGACACTGCCTAAACTCTGCATCATCTGTGATTGGGGTCTCGGCATCCATACGGGACAACATCGCCTTCAGAATTTTCCCGTGAGCCTCCACTCTACCAACCTGCCAATGGCTCTCACCAGCAGCTACTTTAGCGCAAACACCGTCACGCTGCAGCCTCTCTCGCCACCACTCTCCTACATACTCACCTGCAGGATCTACGTAGAGGAGTTGACATGGTCCAGCCCATTTGTTCCAGCTGTCGGTGAGAACTTCGTACTGGTCTTCCATGGTCCTACCGGTGGCCGTAGCTTGATGAAACAACGTTGCCTCATCGAGGATGTGTGTGAACATGTACTTATGTCCACTTTGCCCACTCCAATATGCTACATCCATGCCCAGTACATCCCCGAAATCGGCATCAAGGTGAATCGCTGCAGGCCTCGCAGGCTTGGGACCAGACACGGACTCTAGACACGTACTACAGGACAAATCTTTGGCTCCCTGAATAATGCGAGGATCCGCCTTCCGCTCTGTCAAAAACTTAACCATAGTGCCTGTGTCTGGGTGTCCCAGGTTTTGGTGGAGCCTCCCTAATTCCCTCTTCTCCTGCTCACTTAGTCTTAAGTACCCCGGCCCATGCCTAGGTATCATGACTGGAGGATGCCCTTGTAGAAGTTCCGAAGGAATGGGAGGAGAACTTACACCCCTTGAAGACACTGGTGGACTGGCGCTGTGACACGGACGACCCTCGGCTGCTGCTCCCGGCTCAAAAGACTCCATGTTCTGTTCACTGGGGGGTATATCGGACGCTACATGGGGACGCATCTCGGATGCTAGTTGGGGGCGCTCGGGTGCTGATTGGGGCCGCTGACCGAGAAATTCTGAGCCGTAAGCCGTCAGACTGACTCTCGCAGGTATTCCCCGACGCCAACGTTTGTACTTAGGATTCTTTGTCCACTGCTCGCAACCACCATCTGCCATCACCTTACCATTGTCCCTAGAAACCACTATGGTTTGGCGAAGGGGAATATCCTGTATCTCGAGACCAGGTTTTGGCAGCTGAACACGGTTGGTGCCACGAGCCATCACCACGTGCTTGATTTGAAATTGCGGGATCAGTGTTTGAACCTGTTTTACAACCTCATCCCCATCCCTGAAGTACACCCTGCCACGGTGAGGAACATCAAACTTCTTAAAGATAGCTATCCACGAGGCATCCTTGAACTGATCCCGAGCCTTGCACATTTCCGGTGCCGGTTGCTTCCGAAGAAGCCGTCGGCGCTTCACAACTTGCTGAACATTTTCAAGCGCGGCACGATTACTCAAGTTGAGGTCCCCTTCACGCTTAAGGTCTGCTACTAGTAACTCAGACAGGTACAAAGGAACACTACGGTCAGAGATCATTGCTGCTGCTGCTTGCTCAGCCAGTCGGAGCTGCCATGTCGGGCTTCGTGGTGCAGACGTGTTGCTTGTTGCTTGGCTGGGGTTGGAAAGGTGAGTCGGCTCCTTACGTGTGTCGATTGCCTCATGTACCACTCTGGAAGTCGTATAGATAAAGCTTTTCTTGTTCAGAAAATTGTTGCCGCGCATCTTTCCCAATCCCATCGCCTCCGAAGGACAGTGAACTGCGCACATGGTGCCGTGCATCACGTCCTGCAGTTCCGGAGAGGACTCTGCAAAGATATTTTGACCAGTGCACAGATGAAAATGGCGCCCGTGTTCAATTTGATGCTCATACAGGTCGTACAATAGCTCTTTTGGCCAAAATACCTTTGAAGGATCCTGTCTCCCGCCATTCATCCAGAGGTGCTTGGGCTCGTACATATGTATCATGAACCAAATGCGACTGGCATCCCATGTTTTAATGGATACTGCACGGCCCTGGCGATTCCGAATGGCATTGCTGATTCCACTGTCCGCCAGAGTGATTTCCAGGACATCAAGCCGAGGAAGCTTGTAGTGCATCTTTTTCCGGAAGTCTTCAGTCTCACTATCAAGTTTCCCGAGCTTGTCTTCTATCTGTAAGATGCACGCATCAATCTTCTGACAAGTGGCTAAGGATTGCACGACATGATTGTCCTGTGATGTATTCACTCCTTCTCGTCCCAAGACGGATCCAACTGCTCCAGTTGCGCAAGCTCCCTTTGCAGTAGCGCCTTCCTGGTCATGATGTCGAGGCGCTGCTCCGCGGTGAGGTCGGTGTTCATCGCGGGGTTGGGATCCTGGGCATTCGCCCTCTTGCCTTTGTGATTCTCGGCCGTCGATGCTGAGCTTCCGGTCGCTCTGCCTTCGTTGAGGCACAGCTTCCATTCCCCGAACTCCTCCTCGTCCTTGAAGGTCGCGGTGTTCCGGCTCCGATTTGGGAACGCCGCCTCCTCGTCCTCTAAGGTCGCGGTGTTCTGGCTCCGATTTGGGAACGCCGCTTTCCGGGTGCCCTTCCCTTGGCGCTTCTGGTCCTCCATCTGCTCCGCCCGAGCTGCTGCCTTCAGACGGGCAAGGCAATAATTCTTGAATGAGATGGCCCAGCTGCTGGTGAGGGATTGCTTGCGCGCCATGGTCACCGCATACACCAAGTCCTCGTCGAACGCCGCTGCGAAGGTCTTGGTCTTGTGCTTCCCCGCAGTCAAGGTCATGTCGCCCCACGCGCGGAGTGTCTCCACACCCTTTGGGCGCACAAACTCCACATCGAGATAGCTACCAACGGCTCGTCCACATCTGGGGTCGCCATCTTGCCCTGAAGCTTCAAAGCATCCTTGCGGGAGATCGGCATGACGATGATCCACCGAGGACAAAGGTTTGGAGGCTGATGCGGTTCCGAGCTGAGCTGATTGCGGCTGTGATGGAGGCAGGGCTGTCAGGTCTGCTGGGTGGGTGCATGCTCGGTTTGGTTGCTCCTCAGCTTGGAAGCATGCTGCTGTTGTAGTGCGTAATAAAGCAGAGAGATCAACAACAGACAGACCCCGGCTATCAAAACGCATAGGAACCCTTTTACCCGGTAACTGAAGGAACCCTTTTCTAACATGAATCACCGCATCAAGCTCGCGAAGCAACTGTTTAGAGATAAGCAATGGCGTGTTTCCTGGGATCACCTCAACTCGAATCCAGGACGACTCCGAGATTGGCAGAAGCAGAGCGTGTTTTGACTGAAGCGTGCCGCTGTTGCCGAATCTAAAGACAATGTCCGACGATGTCTTCCGGACACCGTTCCGGCACTCAGCGTCAAGCCCCCCGAGGATATCGCGTACCCGCTGGCTACCGACTACCGTGCGACTAGCCCCAGTATCCAAAACTCCCTCAGCCCCTGAAGTAACCACCAATGCTACCTCATCACCATCGTCATCCTGGGGCTTGCTGCTTCTCAAAACTTCGGGGCCTGCCTCTTTGGTCAAAATTTGCGGAGTGAGTCTCTGCCTGGATGTTGCCGCGGTGCATCGTCTATGTTTCCTGGCAAGCATTAACAACTTTCGTGCAAGTTCCTCTTTCCATGTCTGGCTACAATCCCCTTTAGGCACAGCAGCCATTAGACAAGGAGAGTATAAAGTATGAATTCGCTCGACTCCCCCAAGCCCTGGCACACCGATCTGTCTGGCTTCCTGGCTGTCCTCTTCTCCAATGTAGGGCTCGGACTCCGGTGGCATGGCATGGAGAATCTCTGGGAGGTTCTGGGCAAAGGTGTCCGAGGTCTCTTGGGTAAAGTGGGTTACCTCCACCTTGGCTTCATTGCCATCCTGGGCCAATCGGCGGGGACATTCCCGCTTCCAATGTCCTTTCTGATGGCAAATGCGGCACGTGGAATTGGCGATACGGTCCGCGAGAGACCGATTGCGGCCAGTGCCCCACCCCGGAAACGAAGACGACGAAGATCCTTTTCCTTTCTTCCCGAATCCCTTCGTCTTTCCACGGCCTTTGGCAGGCCAATATCCACGAGCTTTGGCTTTATCGCGGAGCCGCTGCCGAGCCTCCTGGTATGTTACATACACTGGCGCCAATTCGCTATCTTGGATGGCGTCCACGATGCTCTCCTCGAACTCGGTGATGTAGACGGCGTCCTCGTCGTTGAGGTCCATGAAGTAGCAGAGGAGGTCCTCGTCACTCGGCTCCTCCTCGGGCACGGCGCTGTAGTACACATCCTCGGCTCCGTTTTCCTCCGTGTAGTGCACGTCGTAGATCTTGTTCCGTTCCAATCCTCGGTTTCCTGTGGCATTCTTGTTCTGAAGGTCCCCAAAAATTTTGGAACCCAACAATCTGATCGCCTTGACTGTCTCCTTGTACTTGAGGTCACCCTTGGACTCAATGACAACTCGCTTCTTGTCCTCCGGGGCAAGTTGGCTGTGGCGAAGTAACACGTAGGCTCTGATCTCCTCGATGGTCACCTTGCGCGTAAGAAGTTCTTCAAAGTAGGCGTCAGTGCGAGCTAAGTAGGAATCATTGGTTTCGTCATTCTTCTGTGTCACCTGAAAAATGGCTTGCTCGAAGAAATGGAACTTTTCCTCAACAGCAGTTTTCCCCCAAGCTCCGCCGAGAGCCTCCACGATAAGCTGGACGCCCTCTTGACTCCGAAGCTTATCCGGAGCAACCCGGCTGATTTTCTGAAAAGCCGAACCCTCCACTTGGAGAGCCGCTCTCGGCCCCAGGTGCTGGATGCTATCGGCTGGCCACAACTCTTTGAGAAACTTCAAGCGCTGCGTGTAATCATCAAGGTTCGTAGTGCCCGGCACAAATTTCGGGATTTGTTGCCAAGGAAGATGGCTGACTCCTGCTGCCGAGCCGGCTGCAGTCGAACCTCCATCCCCTTCAACGGCCATGGCAACTGCTACGGGCTACCTACCTATTGGTTTCCCCTGTTTCCGTTACCTAGTTCCCCCTAGATAACGACAGGCCGGGCTCCGCTACCAATGTGAACTTGGTAGCCCGGTCCTGCCCCTAACGAACCCCAAGGACCCTAAAAGACCCTAAAAGCAAGTGCCAAGCCCCCGGCCTGGAATGTCTGAAGAACGGCTCCGCCGTCTGAAATCTGAACCTGAATCGGAAACCCCGTCTCCTAGACTGTAGCCCCTTCCGCGGAACCCTGTTCCTTTTGACAGCTCAAGCGAACCTCTGCCCTCCCTCCTCTGTCGCTGTTGAGCCGGATGTCGGCCAGAATCTTCGACTGATGCACCTGTGGTTTTGCTGTTGGTTTAACATTCAGCGTCATCATCATCGTCATCATCATCATCATGACCATCATCATGACCATCATCATCATCAGCATCACCGTCATCAGCATCCTTGTCAAGTCATCACGAACAGACATAGCATCATCATTTTCATGTTCTATTTGAGGTGTTGCTATGCCTGACAATCAATCGTCCTAGAGTAGCTTTTGCCTAGTAAAAGCACAAGGGCGTCAAATAGACGCAAAGCTTCCAAGGCACCCGTATGACCCCCGCCCCCCCCCCCCCCCCCCTAACGCCCGCTCCCAGCCACGATCCTGGTGCCAGTCCTAGTTTTCGGAGTATTGTCTTTGTTTTTGTGGGGGCAGGTTGAAGAACATGATTGGGACTGGAGCAGAACCCGCCACCCAAACCACAGGGCAAAGAAGGCGGTGGGGGTCAACGCAATGCTCCGCGAGTGCACCAGAGCGACGGCTATACCACAGCGACAGAGGCACCATCGGCAACGGAAAAAAGGAAAGCCGCTTCCTCTAGTGCAGTAGCAATCGCAGATTGGATGGCAATACGACTATACTGACAAGTAATTATAACTGTCAGCATACCTCTGTAGGTTTGCTAGCTGCTCAGCAGCCAACCCAATGTACTTACAAAATGCACAGCATGGACGAGTCGACTAAGATTGCAGCTTCTGCTCGGTGGCATGCTGGAGTAAACACAACGCTTAGACTTACGCGAAAAAAGGCCCGGTGTTCTTGCCCCAAGCACCACCTCACAGAGGACGGGGGAGACAAAGAAGCCGAGAGACTAGGAGTCCAAGCAAGACCACATGCACCACACCACAAGGGGGGCGGGGGGGGTTGGGGTAATTACCACGGCCCAAAAATTGGCGGGGTTTCAGCCCGGCATCATACATACTACCATTATGTATTCGGTCCCAAAGCCCCCCTATCTTGCTGTTGCAGAATGCAGCATATACGGACTATATGGAACCTCGTATTCTGTAATAATTACATGGAACCTATAAGGCCCTAAGCCCTACACGCCGAACAGCCCATTTCAGGAGCCCTCTCTCCCTAAAAGCCCTTAAGAAGCCTTTTTCAGGAACCTTCTAGGAACCCTTTCGACCCCAAACCACATCATGGCTTAGCGGCCTCGGGTTCAGGGCTTTGCGTTTGGGGGCATTTGGGGGTTCAGGGTTTGACCTAAAACCCTAAATCCTTAAACCCTTATAGACCCTAATTTAGGGTTTAGGGTCCCTGCTGAAGGGTCCCTGCTGAACCCTTATAAACCCTAAACCTCTAAACCCTAAACCCCTACACCCTTAAACCCACAAACCCTGAAGACCCTAAACCCTAAACCCCTAAAGGCCTTTAAACCCTAAACCCGAAAAGTTGAATGGGTTAGGTACGGCCCCCCCATACAGTAAGAGTCTATAATAGGGCTACTATTTAGGTCCTACTATATCTATGTTATGAATATTATTCAACTATTACGTACCGAGTGGGGGCAGTACCCAATTTATAGGGCTCGAACCCTGAACCCAAAAACCCTATAGATCCCTTAAAGGAGCCCCTTAAAGGTACCCTTATAGATCCCTTTAAAGGAACCCTTACAGGATTTCTAAGTGGGGGCCGTACCCGATGAATGGGGTGTCTCTTGGCAGGCCTGGGTCCCTGAAAGTGGTCCGGCACAGGCGCTGGAAACTGGTTGCGGGTTTGGGTTTTCGAGTAATTTGACGGGTTTAGGACTTTGGGGGCTTAGGGCTTTCGGGGTTTCGAAAAATTTGATGGTTTTAGGACTTTGAGTGCTTTTGGGGCGTTGGGGTTTAGGACGTTTGGGGCTTTTGGGGCTCAGGGCGTTTGGGGCTGTTGGGGCTTTTGGGGTTTAGGGGTTTAGGGGTTTAGGGCGGCTTTTGGGGTTTAGGATTCAGGGCTTTTGGGGCTTAGGGCTTTTGGGGTTTAAGGCTTTTGGGGTTTAGGGCTTTTGGGGTTTAGGGCTTGGGGCTTTTGGGGCTTTTGGGGTTTAGGGTTTATAGGGGTTAGGGGTTTCGGGTTTGCGGGTTTAGTGTTTTGAATGGTTTAGGGCTTTTGGGGTTTGGGGGTTTAGGGTTGGCGCCATAGAGTCAACGGTTTGGCGTTTCAGAGGCTTGGGGTCGTAGGTGTGGGTGTTGAAATAGGGTCCGTGAAGCTAGGGAACCTTGTTAAACCCGATGTTTGGGGGCTTGGGGATTTGTGGGTGTCGGTGGCCGGGTAACCCGTCGAAGCATGTGGGTGCTACGCACAGGTCCCCCGCTGCTTAATTATAGGCAATAACAGAAACAAGGTACCACTGTTTGGAAGGGTATGCTGGTAAACCTTGACATGGGAAACTATCGCCAGCGTTGCCTAGAATTCTGTCGTGCTTCCGGCTAGCGGCCGGAGCACTTTCATTGGGACTTGGTGTGCATCGAGAACTGTGGTGTTTAAGACGGGAAGACCTGAAGGTCTGGACCATGGCGGCGGACTTAAAAAGCCCGAGCATCCAGTCGGTCTGAAGCTGTGCCCTTCTGCACCAAAGCTGTACATGTGACCCGCATGCACGAGGTGGCTGACTACGTTAGACACGTTGACGTGCTTTCTACCCTTCTTAAACCATCCCAGCTGGCACATGTCATGCTTATTTATTGAACACCGCAATCACCGATCGCGAACGGCGTTGAATCCAATCGTACAGATCGCCGGGACGATGGCTTTGCTCAGGATTGCCAATCATGACTCCATATATGATCGCTCTTCGGAATGCCTGTGCCAGAAGCCTCGTAGTCATAATCAGCATCTTGGCCATCATCAACAGCCACAGGTTCACTTCCAGCATGTCGGTCATTGTGGTTGCCCCTGACTCCTGATCACCACCGATCATGGCCAGCACCGTCATTGCCATTGATCTAGTTCCAAGTTTCAAGATAGGCCGACGCTTTTGTGAGTCTTATTCACACACACACACATGCCGCAGTGATCGGTGCAGCAGCCACCTGTTGCAATGCAGCAAACATGCCTAGGCGACAGAATATGTGTTTGTCGCATCATCATGGAACATCGTTGTGATGTCATTTCCGAAATTCTGCTGTAATTGCAGACCTGCCCATTATTCGCACATCTTGCAGCACCCGAAACAATCACAGCAGGTACAGACTCAAGGCATTCGTAGACAATTGTTTGTCGTTTTTCGTGTTGCACATCGAGGTGTCTTCACAACACAACCAGGAGTGCATCTCGGATTGGTGCCGCGAAACTTGACATTGTTTCTACCCTACTCCATTTTCGACGCTGCCTAACTTGAAGACACATCGTGACTCCTCGGCATGTTTCACGCTGCTGTCAACACAGGCAATCCTTCATAAACCGTTTACCAAACTTATTTCCTAAACTTTAAACTGTAAGCCGGGCTTCGGCTTGAGCGGTTGAGGGTCAAAGGTTGATGGTGCAGGGTTGTTTGTACCTGGTACGGTTTCACCGTTTCACCATGTCCAATGATTTTCTCGCTTGGACATATGGTCCGCACACACCATATACCTTGAAAACCTTCTCAGGTCAAACGGGTTGAGCGGTTGAGTTTTCGAGTTTGCAAAAAGCTACTCCACGAGCTATCATGGATCGCATCTTTGAAGGTATGTGTTGCAATCACAGACAGACGTGTTCATTGCGATAGCAGAAGGCAAATAGAACCCATCTCCCGGAACACACAGAACACCGAATAATTCATGTGTCTGAGCTGCAGACCCACGAACAGGGGCGCGATTTCATGTTATATATTCAGACATCGCACGTGCAGGTCACGAGGTAGACTTGTGCAGTCAGAGTCTGTTGTTCGGCATGTGGGGTAGCTTTGATGCTGGTTCCGGTTCTATCGCCGGAGATTCGCGACCGACGTCTTGACAGATTGGATTTGGAAGAAAGGGTTTTGATAAGGCCACAGTCTTCTGACGGAGCGTGATGTCCTCCCAACAAATGCCCTCTGAACAGCGGAAGCGTTTTGAACTTTTCCAGCGGCTCTTGAAAAACCCCGGTATTATCCGGCTACAATCCCATACAGCTAACTACACTGTTCGGTTCTTAGGGTGAAAGTGTCTACGAGGTTGTGGTGTCGGGACACGGAACCTTCGATCCGTATCCTGATTCACCCCATATGCCACCCTTGTTTGTTGCGCAAATGCGGTTCCCATTAAACAAACCTTCAGAAGTGAAATGCATGCTGTCACGCTACTAGACTTGAGATACATTCTCTATATTATACGGTTGATGATATAAATCCTGCATTACCCATAACAAGGAATATACCATAATTCCCATAATTAGTCTAGGGTCCTTGCGGTGATGCAGGATTTGTATCATCAACAGTAGGATGTCCAAATCGTTGCCTGTGAAGCTGTCGTCATAAAACCGGAAAGATTTTTTCCTCGCTTGAAACGGAATCCGGAAGGACGGTTTGCTCGAGACCGGCAGCTTGGAGATAAGCCGTGCTGCTCTCGGATGACGGCTCGAATCCAAAGTCTTCGTCTTCTGTTTGCGATTCAGGGTGCTCGGGGTTCCGGGTGCAAGCGCAGAAGCTGCTGGGGAATCTGCAACGCAGTAGGACATGTAGGACAATCATCAGTGGCATGGTTTTCCGGATCA